CCTTTGCATAGTCAATAAAGCACAAGTAAACATCTTTCTGCTGTTCTTTGCTTTGAGCCAAGATCCATCTGATATCAGCCATGATATCCCTCATTCCTAGCAGTGATATACTGTCTGATATATAATTGGAAAACTTTATGAATAGCCCTGAAACATTGTCAAATGGGATTCAGAAGGGGAAGTGGAGCAAGGTAAAAATTAGACAATGATAGTAATTGCTAACAATGGTGATTTGTTCATTTTTCACCATACGTGAGGTGGTGAGCATATGTTACTTAACTGTCATGTTGTTGTTGTTGTTGTTAGGTCAGCTCCAACTCATAGCAACCCTATATACAACAGAAAGCCTGTGCCAGCCTCAAAGTCCTTGCTACTCATGAGCCTGTCATTGCAGCCACTCTGTCAACCCATCTTGTTAAGGACCTTCCTTTTTTTAATTGACCCTCCACCTTTCCAAGCATGATATCCTTCTCTAAGGAATAGTCTCTTCTGACAATCTGACCAAAGTAGGTGAGACAAAGTCTGGCCATTCTTGTTTCCAAGAAGCATTCCAGCTGTACTTCTTCCAGGACAGGTTTTAACACTCATAGTAGTCCCATAAGGACCTCTGGTGGTGTAGTGGTTTTTTGTTTGTTTGTTTGTTTTAATTTGGCTGCTAACAAAAAGGTGAGTGGTTCAAACCCACCAGGCACTCCATGGAAGAAAGATGAGGTGGGCTTCTTCTGTAAAGATTTACAGCTTTGGAACCCAATGGGGGTCACTATGAGTCAGAATCTACTCGATGGCAGTGAGTTTGGTTTGGTTGATCCCATAAAATCAGGTTTGATTCTTATTCCCATCTTGTTGACAGAGAAACCAAGTCTGAAAAAGCCCAAGGTCTCATGGCTTGTAAGCTTCAGGGATTCAACCCAGGAGACAGATCCAGAGCATGCCATCTGGGCTCTAACCCAGTGATGAACCTGCTCAGGCTAAATGCATTGAACAGACATTTATAGACATATAAAGGGCTTTACAAATAACTCTGCCCAGGTTAAGGTAAAAAAAATTTCTCAAAATAGACAAGGCCTCATATTATTTTTACTAACAAGTCCTTTGTGTGTGTTGTGTGATGTGCTTTGTAAAGCACTTTTATAACTATTATTTTGTTTTTAATCCAAATAATCTGCTAAAAAGTCTCTGAAGGTTTATTCTAAATGTTATGAGGTCATATGTGGATGACCTCATCTGTAAAAGGGGTATATTATTTGCCACAGCTAAGTCCATAGTTTATGTAAAGAGGAAAAATGTTACCTGATGGGCAAAGCTCAGGTCCTAGAATCAGAAGACCTAGTGGGGCTCTATGAGACAAAATAACCTCTTAGAGCATCTCCAGACATCATTTGGTGATTTTGGCATTGAATCAACTTCTCTATGCTCCTCATATTTATAGTGGGTACATATTTATAATTTACTTGAGAGGGTATTGTGGAAATAAGTTAATATATGTAAAGTGATGAGAAAGATCCTTGGTGCTTGGTAAGCACTGTATGTCTTGGTTATTCTTATTATCATCTCTATCACTCACCACCATCACCACTCCACCATCACTGTTGCCACCACCACCACCACCACAATCATCATCACCACCATTACTGCTATAGTTGACACCACCATCAACAACACATGCACCACCATCAATAACACCACCACTACCATCACTACCACCCTGTTACCACCACCATGACCACCACTATCCCTACCTATATCACCACCACCAACACAATCATCACCATCATCACCATTACCACTATCATTAACACATGCACCATCATTAGTAACATCAACACTACAGTCATCAACACCACCACCATCATACTATCACTACCACCGTAATCACCATCACCACCACCATTACCAATATCATTAACATCACTAACAACAACCACACACCACCATCGATAATACCACCACTATCATCACTACTACCACCATTACCACCACTATCACAACCCCCATCACCATCATCACCACTACTACCATCACTGCAAACATCAGTATCATCACCATTACCACTGTCATTAACACATGCACCATCACCAATAACAGCACCATCGCTACCGCCGCTGCCACCACCACTACCACCATCACCACCACTACCATCATCACCACCATTACCACTATCATTAACACCACAATAATACATGCACCATCATCAGTAACATCATCATCACTACCACCACCACCACTACCACTATCACCACCATTACCACTATCCTTAACACCAACAACAACACATGCACCACCATCAACAACACCACATCACCATCACTACCACCACCACTATCACTACCCCCACTACCACCCCCATCACCACCACTACCACCATCACTACCACACTGGCACTGTCACCACCATCATCACCACCACCATTATCGGTTATATCCTTTCCTAAGAATTCCACCTCCCAGCCAGACTTTATGGATTAAATGATGAAGAGCATGTTAAAGTGTTGAGAATTTGTGCAGAATGTTGGGAATGGCTGTGGCTACAGTGTTATTTCTTGTCAAAGGCAGACAAGAGCCAAAGGAGGTGCCATGACCAGAGTACTCCTCCCTCAGGGAGGCCCTATCTCATACCACCCAGAATGCTTCTTGAAGAAGACAGCTTTCCTCCAACCCAGAGTGCTTCTTTAGGAAGTTGGCTCTCCCTCCGACTAGATCATCCCTTGGAGAAGATAGATTTCTCACTACTGCTATGCTTCATCCACAGGCATTTCCCTCAGCGCACTCCCCATGTATCTGAGTGAGATCTCACCCAAGGAGATCCGTGGCTCTCTGGGGCAGGTGACTGCCATCTTCATCTGCATTGGTGTGTTCACTGGGCAGCTGCTGGGTCTGCCTGAGCTGCTGGGACAGGTAAGTGTGGCTCCCAGGCCAACCAAGTCCTCTCTTCTTTTATAGTCATCACCACTTCAGGGCTGAGCCCTTCCTCCAAAAGCTTGCCCCATGTCTGAGTATTCCTGGGCAGTCAAGCCTTTGACTTATTTTTGGAGAAAATTGTTGATGCCCCTTTCGGGCTTCTTTTCAAGGTGCTTGGATCTACCTTCCCTTTGAATTTTTTTTCGTACATAAATGTAGGAAATAATGGTAGCATAGTGCCTAGGCACTTGACTGCTAACCAGAAGGCTGGCATTTCAAACCCACCAGCCACTCCTCAGAAGGAAGGTTGGGCAATCTACTTCCATAGTGATAGCACCTCAGAAACCCAAGGAGAGGTTTCTATGAGTTGGGTCCAATTTGACAGCACGTAACAACAACAACACATAAATGTGTAACCGCATTGTCTTCTGTTTTGAGCTTTTTGTTTGGGGAATAGGTGGACTTGAGTTTGAATCCTAGTCCGAACATTCATTAGCTGTGTGACTGTGGTACAATATATTCTTTATGTGGCCTTTTGCCTTAGTTCTTTGAAAGAACAGTGTGGAAGATCTTTTTTTCCCCTTAAGCCTTGAGGAGTGGTTACTTTTGTCCCAGTTCTTTGGAGAAGCAGCTTGGGAATGGGGGCTCCCAGGTTGTTTTCTACCCAAGAGTGTTTGTTACTTTATCCTAGGAGATTACCTGGGTTGATTGACATTTCCTGGGTAAGCTGTAACAAACTTGATGGTTTGATACTTTTGTCTCTTAAGTGACAAGATCTGAGTTGATTGACACATCATGGGTAATTGAAGATGGGTTGAACTGTTCTGATGCTAGAGGTCCCACCTTTTAACTGATGAGGATCAGGGTATATCAGTGGCTGAAACTAGAGTTTTTCTATGCCTTGTTGTTGGGAGAGATGCTGGTTAGGAGCTGGGTAGGTAGAGAAGCACAGCCACGTGGGAGTTGAGTGGTCTTGGAGCTGCTATACTGGCCAGTTAGTGGTGGAGAGGCTAACAGTGGAGAGATCGGATGCTGTAGAGGCCAACATTGAATAGGCCTGATGGCAAATTGACCAATGGCAAAGAGGCCTGGCAGCAGAGAGCTGTTGCTAGGAGAGCAGCAGCTGAGAGTCCTGAATGAGCAGCTGCACTAGCTATGAGCTAGGCCAGGTGATGGAGTGGCTGGCAGCGGAGAAGCCCATGGCAAAGAAACCAACAGCAGAGGGGCTTGCTTGCCAAAAGCAATGAAAAAAAAAAAAAAAAAAAAAATATCCTAGTTGGAAGCTGTCCTGCACTAAAGAAGGGAGAAATATGCTCTCCATGTCAGGAACCTTTCCAGACCTTGCCTATGTACTCCCTGATCTGGATCCTGAGTCATTCCTATTGTTTCCCAGTTAATCCTGACTTTGAGGTGTAGCCTGTTATTTCCCTAATAAACCACATAACTGTAAGTGTGGTCTGTGAGTTCAGCGCACTATTGAACTTGGCAGAAAAGTAAAGAGTGAGTTGGGGGAATGGCTGGTGTCAAACACGGTGAAAAAGTTGGAGAGTGGAGGTATGACTGACCTCTGCCTTGTGGGAACCAGCTTTGTGCAGATCCTGATCTTTATTCCTCATGAATTTAAACAATTTCTTATGCTGCTTTACTGTGGTGTTGGGCAAGGTACTTGACCTCTCTGAGCCTCAGTTTCCTACTCTGTATAATGAGTATCATACAAGCTACTAAAAAAAAGTACTTGTGAAATGGTTGTGGGGATAGAGAGGAGGGGGCTGGTTCCAGCCCACAGGGCTTGTTGTCTAATTATCCAATCAAAATACTCATTATGCCATCTAGATCCTCACAGCACTACAGCCGTAAAAACTGAGGCTGAGAGAGGTGAGGTTCAGAACGAGTACATAATACTGGAGCTGAAACCAGAACCTGGGTTGGTGTGCTTTCAAACCCAGGTGTGACGAGTGTCACAGACAGAGAAGAATAGGCATGACTTGGCTGTGAGTGTAGGGGCTTCCGTAAAGAGGGTCTGATTCTGCACACAGGACTTCTTCTCCATCCCAACTGGCTGAACTCTATCCAGCCCAGACCCTCGCTCCTTTCCTGCTCCACAGAAGGCTTTACTCATGGAAAAATCCAGGATGGTGGCCCCGTGATGATAGGACAGTGGGAACCAGGCGGCATGGACCACTTTTTGTATTTCAGTGGATCCAGGTCACCTCAGAGGCACCTACTTCCAATCCCTCATTATCAATCCTTTTGAGTTTTGGGGGATACAATTTTGTTGTTCTCCTTTGCAAACCCACAAACAACTCATACTCTACATTTGTGGTTCTCATGTGCTTGACAAGTTCTATAATTAATATTAGTGTAATGAAAATCTCCTTACCAACATGAGTTTCCATATGAAAGAGACACTTTTGGGATTTTTTGTTTTTTATAATATTCAAAAGCTCTAAAAATAGATAGTACATAGTACATTCAGATAAACACATAATCCACAACACATAATCCTTTTAAAGACATTCCAGGAGGCGGGGCAAGATGGCGGACTAGGCAGAAGGATTGCACA